GTGTGTGTGTGTGTGTGTGTGTGTGTGTGTGTGTGTGTGGCTCCCAAGTTTAACTGCAGGGTCATAGTATAGATGGAAAGTGCGTGCGCCTCCATTTTTTTCAACTCTGCTGTTGTTGCTATGATCAGACCGTTGGAAAGAAATAGTAGTTTCCAATAATAAATGCTGTGTGTATGTGTGTATGTATGTGTGTGTGTGTGTGTGTGTGTGTGCGTGTGGCTGGAAAACTTGCATGAAAAGGTGGTAATCTCCGGTTCTGAAGAGTTAAAAAGTGTTGAAAGCTGCATTCTCTCTAGTGTCCACCAGGGGGCGACTCCTCTGGTTGTATAGAAGTCTATGAGAAAATGACTCTACTTCTCTCTTGATTTATTACCTCAGTAAACATTGTAAACATGAGTTTATGGTCTCAATCTCTTGTTTCAAGTCTTCTTCACTACAGCATGATGTTCGTTCATGTCTTATGTTCTACAGCAGGAACCAAATAAGGGTTAAATTGAAACTCTGTTGACTGTTCTTTTTTTTTCTCCATTTAACTTGTTATGAAGTCGTTGCAGCTGTGAACATATTTGCCAAATCAAGGGTCCACAATGATGTTGCATGTGTAACATGTTTGCCTTTGTTTGTTTGGACTCTAAAATATCATATTTATTGATTTTAAAAACACAAAAAAAACTGCATACTGCAACTTGAATACCCTCTAACCTACATGAGGGCCGCTCCAGGCACCGCAGTGACAGGGTTTGATAACTCTGTACAGCTTTAGTCCCACAACAGGAATGTCAGCTATGTGGCCTAATGGGGCCAGGGGAGGCTTAACAGTCCAGTGGTGCAAGCCAGGGAGGAGAGTGGAGACCGGCCTCTTACATGACTGTAAAAGTGCGTAATGCGCTGCTCATTAGTGTGGTGATACCTGCTCTCCGTGACATACCTGGCACTCAAACCTCTGGCTTCGACAGAGCATCATCACATTGGTGGACTTTCCAATTAATGTCGTCCGTGACAGAGCATCACAAAAAGAACACTGTCAGTTTGTTATGGGAAAAGAAAATACCCTCTGAGAAGTAGAGTTAAAGAGAAAACCAAAACACTGCGTGGTAAACATCTCTGGTAGAGACCTGTCAATCACAGTAAGCCCCGCCCTAAAGCATCCCCTGCTCTATGGTCTGTTTGACTCTAAATGCTGTATTGAAGAAGACTTGAAACTAGAGATTGAGACCATAAACTCATGTTTACAATGTTTACTGAGGTAATAAATCAAGAGAGAAGTAGAGTCATTTTCTCATAGACTTCTATACAACCAGAGCAGTCGCCCCCTGGTGGACACTAGAGAGAATGCAAGTTTTAAAGACTTCCGCATCGGCAGAATCAGAGGTTACCGCCTGAGTCCACCATGTTGCACAGCTGTATTTCTACAGTAGCCTAGAGTGGACAAACCAAACACTGACTCCCAAAAAAGACACCTGCAATTACCGCTCATCGTCATAGAGAAGGAGAAAGATATTTTGGAGATTGTAACTTTAACTTTTGACACCATTTCACCACATCATCAACTTCCAAACTGAAAGCGACTTTCACGTGTGTTCTTTTACTTTAGTTTGTTCTCTTCATACAGAGAAATTCTCTTCTTTTCACGCTTCTCATTCTTGTCTTTTTCAGATAAAGCTCCAGTGGCTGATACTGAGGAGGTGCAGAAGGCCGACGTCTCCTCCACAGGACCAGGCGTCATCGATAAAGACGCCCTCGGGCCCATGATGCTGGAGGTAGGTTCAGCCAAACCAGACACAAAACAGTGACACCATTATTGAAACTGTAACTGACCTACTTAGCAGCAGTCACAACTTGACACAACAGAGGTAAAGAAGTGACAGGTTTGAGTTAAATAACCTGATGTGTCAAAGACGCAGCGCTACACCACGACCGCGTGTTGTCGTCTGACAGATTTCGAGCTGGTGGAGCGTCTTTCTGACTTTAAATGGCGCTGCACTTTACAGTGACGCAGAGAGATAAGAGTTCCTCGGGCTAGGGGCGATGCCATCATCGAGCCTACTCCAGTGTGTGTGTGTGTGTTTGGTGACGTATAACATGCGACCCAATGAGGTATAAATACCTTCCTGAAAAGCCAGATTAGCAAAGGATGGGAGGAGCTTGACCACACGCGCACAAACACACACACACACAAACACAGACTGTCTATATATAGCTTTCACCCGCCGCAACGTTGGCCGAGGTGTCTGCTTGGAGATAGATATCATCCTGGACAGAACCCATTCTATTCTATTCTATTCTATAGAGGCGTCAGGGTGATAGGCAGGCAGACGTACAGCAGGAGGCTTGTGCATGTGGCAGGACAAATCACAGTCACAGTGACAGAACAATACACACACACAGTGCCGTACCTTATACTTTGAATTATAATAGCACACTGCAAGTTACTGCTTGGTCTTTTTTTTTATCTTTAAATTACATTTTTAATTCTAGATTTATTTTGAAATAAGCAGACAAGTTGAAGTACACATTTGATGCATATTGCTCATATGCGATCACAATAAATGGTAAAACTAAATGTATTTATAGCAGGTAGTTCTACTTTCACATTCATTTCTATTAATGGAGTCTAATTAGCTTTGGGTTAAGAGTTCAGATGGACTTTAATTAACACTTAATCTCCTCTTTATCCCTCTTACCTCATCTGCCTTTCTCTATTTGACATTTTTCTTCTACATCTGCTTCTCCCTCTACCATGTCTTCTTCCTCCATCACTCTTTCCTCTCACTTCCTCCAACTCTTCTTTCTATTTTCCACCTCTTCTGTCCGTCCAACCATCTCTCCTTTCTCCTCATTCCCTCCCTTTATCTCCTTTGCCCCCCCCCCGTCTCCTCTTCCTCGCCCCTCAGGCCCTCGACGGCTTCTTTTTCGTGGTCAACATGGAGGGCAACATCGTGTTCGTCTCGGAGAACGTCAGCCAGTACTTGCGCTGCCAGCAGGAGGAGCTGATGAACACCAGCGTCTACAGCGTGCTGCACGTTGGCGACCACGCCGAGTTCGTCAAGAACCTCCTGCCCAAGAGCCTGGGTAAGAGCCGCAGAAAGTTCAGCTTTTTTTATATATTAAACGTACCTATGTTGACTACCTCCTCTTTATTTATTTTCATCCTCCAGTCAATCATCGCAGCGGTGATTCGTCCAACAGGAACAGCCACACGTTCACCTGCCGCATGTTGGTGAACCCTCACACCGACGGTGAAGCCCGGCCGGCGTCTGAGCAGCAGGACGCGTCGCAGCAGAAGTACGAGACCATGCAGTGTTTCGCCGTCTCCGAACCCAAGTCCATCAAGGAGGAGGGGGAAGGTATCGTCTCTTTGTCTCTCTTACCTTTACTGTTTTACTCCATGTTTGTTGATTGTTATTTCAAGGTTCAAGGTTCATTTATTGTCATAAATATAGTGACATAATGTTTTGTTTCTCTTTCTCTTATGATTTCTTGCTTTCTTTTATTTTGTTATTACCTTTTTGTCCGTGGCTACATCTCTCTCTTGGTCTTTCATTTGGTTTCAAACTTTTTATTTTTTCCATTTTCTCCCCCTCCATTTCTTTTGTTGCTTCTCTTTGGCTCACTCTCGTTCTGTCTCTCTTTATTCGGTCCCTCTTTTGTTATTTCCACGTCGCCCTTTGTGTTTCTCTGGCTGTGTTTGAAATTGCATACTAATCATACTAATTATAGTGTACATTTGAGTATGTAGGTTTGTAGTATGTAGGTATACTGCATTAGCAAGAACTTCAAAGTATGTGATGTGAGCTTACTGGACGTACTGAACCATCCCCACAATGCATTGCGTTTCCTCAGACTGTCCAAAGCACATGTTTAAAATAAGTCACTGTCGGATGAAATAATTACAAATGATGGCGAGTGAGGTTAAGGCACAGTTCAGAGGAAAAGCTTATATATATATATATATATATATATATAGTCGTGATGTCGACAGTCTGCTGGTAATCATACTTAATCATACATTTAGTATGCAGTATGCACTATGTTAGTATGCGGTTTCAAACACAGCCCAAGTCTTCCACTCATACATGTATTTCTTCTTTCTCCATCTTTCCCTCTCCGTCTTGACTTCCTGTCATTTTCCCGTCACTTTCTCGCTCCCCACTTCCCGCGGTCTCTGGTGTCCTGTCCTCCTTTCATCGCCACTCCTCTCGACTTTTCCTCCCATCCACCGGGAGGGACTAATTAGCGCGTGGCACTTTGTCAGCTTCCCATCTCATGTCATCACACACATACACACTCGGGGGGGAAAGAAGCCGTCTGGCACTCTAATTTTAGATGTCTGACAACCAGATATTGTGCTAATCTCTCCCCACCGACGGGAGGAGGATGTCTGGTGGACAGATTGAGGGCGCAGGTTGAGATTGAGGTTTAGGCTTGAGTTTGATTGGGATCGAGAGTTCTTGATATCGATGTTGAGGCTGGAGTAAGTCTTCATGCTGACTTTCATTTCAATGCCTCAATAATGTTGAGGGATAGCTGGGAGAATAAAGTTCCGGTAGTAAGTTAGGTTAAAGCTGTATTTAAGTTTGTTGCATAGGGCTTAACAGGAGTCCCGTCTTACATCATTATGGTGTAGGTTGTGATTTATAGTTCAGTGGGAAGTGGTAACAACAAACACACTTAAAGACACACACAGAGTGGGTAACCTTTAAGGCTTAAACTCCCACCCATTGATGGATTATTGAACGGGCCTTACTGGCACAGGCCCAGGAGCACAAAGTATCAGGGGCCCCCCTGGCCCTCACCGACAAAAACAGTAACTCAACAACCAGGAAGAGATGCAAAATGACCACAAAAACTGAAACTGACTACAAAAAGGCACATAAAGACCACAAAGAGACCACAACAACTGCTAAGATGTAAAAACAACCTCAAAGAGACAAAAAAGGAATACAAAGAGACACAAAGCAACCACAGAGACACACAAAACCACCACAGAGAGATGCGTAATAATGTCAAAGACACACAAAATCACAACCAAAAAAAATCTAAACAACTATAAAGTCTGTGAGTCTTTGCCTTATGTAGGAGAGGGGGTGGGGCCTTTTGCATGTCTGTGTCCAGGGGCCCGTTGTCTCCTAATCCATCCATGGTCTCGTCCACCCTACTCTTCAATACATGTTGTGTCCCATTGCATTCAGGTGTAAATGTAAGTTTAAGTGAAGGATTATTTTTAAACCATGCTTTTTCCAAACATGCAGATTTCCAGTCATGTCTCATCTGTGTGGCAAGAAGAGTCCCCGTCAAAGAGAGACCTGTGATGCCCACCTACGAGAGCTTCACCACGCGACAGGACCTTCAAGGTAGGCCTGGACCAGGAGGTTCTACTGTCAATACGCCGTCTGATCAATTAGCATAGTGTTGGGCCGATGTATAATGTTGTCCACGTCCCACTCGATATGTATCTCAACTGGGGCTGAAAACTCTGGTCCAATACACTACTAAAGCTACCTAAACATCTAAAACATAACAGTAATCTGTTAACGTCGGGTCTTCTACCTGTCCAGGTAAGATCACGTCGCTGGACACCAGTCTGCTCCGTGCGTCCATGAAGCCGGGCTGGGAGGACCTGGTTCGGCGTTGCATCCAGAGGTTTCACCTGCAGAATGACGGGGAGATGTCCTTCGCTAAGAAACACCAGCAAGACGGTGAGTAAGACGATTCAGAGCTCACCCTGCAGCCTGTAACGGACTTAAACACAATCATTTAGATACCAAAACCTCATCCGTAATATTTTCTTTTGGTAGCTGAATTATTTTAATTCTTTTTAAGACGTAACATAAAGAGACCAAAGCAACTACAAAGACACACAAAATTACCTTAGAATTCTTGATTTTCTGACTTGTTGAGTGTTCAGTGCTTTAGAATTTAAATGAGGAATGAATCATAGGAAAAGCATAATCTACCTAAAATTCATGCTGGAAGTGCTCCGTGTATTAAAGGGATAGTTCAGACTTGATGATGAGGGGTTGTCTGAGGTACTCATAGTCATTGTATTACTACAGTAGATGGAGGTCGGCATGGAGAAACAGACAGGAGTATAACCGTTTAATTGTACACTATATTTAGAATATTGTCACCACCTTACCTTGCTGTCAGACAGGTATCTATGCTCTCTTCAAAGACACAAGACTCCATCAACAAAAACAGACATTTCACCTCTCAGAACATGGGAGTTTCTGCTCTACCGCTGCCTCGATTGGTTAGTGTTATTGGGTGACTTTGGTGAATCCGAACTTAACACAAACAAAAAAAACCCTCGAGGCAGCAGTGGACCAGCAACGTCCGTGTTCTGCGTGTTAAAATTACTGTTTTTGTCAAAGGAGTCTTGTGAATTTGAAGGGAGCACAGATAACGCCTTTAGTTACCCGCCTGAAAGGGCCGTCTGATGGCAAGGGGAATCGATGAAAACATTCTAAAGCGTACACTCCCATGTTGTCCCAAACTGATCGATTTTTTTAGGTGTCTAAAATACATTTGTCTGCTGCCCTCATCCACAGTAGTGCATTGATTTGCCCCTTTGCTGCTACTGTCTGTTTCTCCAAATTATTAAAACTATCAACGCAAAATCTGTCATATCTTATGATGCCGAAACGTAATTTTCTGTCCGTCTCTTTGCAGTGTTGAGGATCGGCCATGCTCTCAGCCCTCTGTACAGATTCTCCCTGGCTGACGGCACCATCGTCTCAGCTCACACCAAGAGCAAGCTGGTCCGATGTCCAGCCACCAACGAACCACAGCTCTACATGTCCCTGCACATCCTGCAGAGGTACCAGCCTCCTTCTCTACCTCTGCACCTCTACTGCAATGTCCGTCATTCTAAAACATAGTATTTAGTCTTTAGGGGCTGGCATGTATCAGTGTCATTCATTTTTCAGATAAGATCTGTTCCTTAGTATCTACATCTACATCTACATACATGCGTGTTCTCATGTTCTCTCTCAGTGTTCGCGGTTTTCTCTTGATTCGGACAAAGAGGTTCAAGAACAAAGAGCCTCTTATTCCGTCGCCATACGTATTGAACAAAACTGACACAAGCACTACCAGCCAGCCCAGTGTACAGTACCTCCCTCCCACCACTGAGAGCGACTACGACTCGACCATCACCCACCCAGCCTTTAGTGTGACCATTCAGAGTCAGGAATTGGACAGTGTTCAGGAAACAATGCCAGGGCTGTTACCCGGAGCTTTGGGGCATCAATGGCGAGCACTTGGCCTTTTCTACTTCCACAAGTTTCACATTGAAAATTATCGCTCCAGCACTCGGCACAATGAGAGCTTTGTGTGCTTGGCATGGGGCTGAAGCCGGTCCTTGTTTGAAGCTCTCTTTCTGCTACAGCTTTAGGCTTCTTCACAACTTTGTTTTCTCAGTTGTGTACACTGTTTCTGAGCTGCTCTCTGTTCTACTCTGAGTTACGCAACCTTATCATGGTGCACTTTTTTTATTATCGAATCCAAAATTATATTCATCTATATTTACTATAAAAAAACTCCCGATTATGTTCTGTCACTACATTGATGTAGAATTATTCTATCTTAGAATCGATAAGTTTCCACGCCTCTATTGCACGACCATAGGCGTGTAGTGGACGTAGTCATCGTGACGTCACCCATTGGTTTGAGGTCTGACGTTTTGAAACCTTGAGTTCGGCGTTTTGGTCGTCACCATCTTGGCTTTTTGCAACCAGTCAACGGAAGTTACCATATTTGGAATGTGGTGGAATGACGTAGAGACGCTGTATACGGCTCTGTTGGTGGCAGAGACCTGTCAATCACAGGGTAGCTCCGCCCTAATGCACACCCTGCTTTATGGTCTGTTTTGACTCTAAATGGACCATAATGTACTAAATGAACATCATGCTGTATTGAAGAAGACTTGAAACTAGAGATTGAGACCATAAACTCATGTTTACAATGTTTACTGAGGTAATAAATCAAGAGAGAAGTAGAGTCATTTTCTCATAGACTTCTATACAACCAGAGGAGTCGCCCCCTGGTGGACACTAGAGAGAATGCAGGTTTAATACACTTAAACATTAGCTTCAATGTCAGAACAGGAGGTTGCCGCCTGTGTACAACCAGCATCCTCCTCCAGCAGGTCTGATTCTTGTATCCGTTTTCTTTTCCTTACAGGGAGAACATGAGTGGCATGACTGCAGACATGCCGGGCGGTCAGAGCATGACTAAGCCAATGACCCCAACCAGTGTGAGTGGTGCCTCCCCTTCCCCTGATGCCAGCGTCACCAGCAACACGCACCACTCCCCCACGCCCTCCAGCACGCCCTCCAGCACCCCCGGACGTGGTTTTGTAGCCGTATCGGGTCGGGCGTCCACCCCTCAGGCGCTCAAGCTGGGCAGCCCTTTGGCCCAGGGAAGCCCCAGCGTCACGTCAGGCGCCATGTTGTCTCCTCGCCATCGCCAGAGCCCCAGCATGGCGGCTAGCAGCAGCAGCAGCAGCAGCTGTAGTAGCCCTCACCTGCAACATCCTCCTGGTTCTTTCTCCCCTGCAGCCGGAGTCCACTCGCCAGCATCCTTATGCGGCAGCACAGGAAATGGCCAAGGGTTCAACTCCCTTAGTGCATTGCAGGCTCTCAGCCAGGGCCACGGGGTTTCCCAGGGACTCATCGAGGGGCAGCAACCAGAGTCACCTGACAAAGAGAACAGTCCCAGCTTAGAGGCCGACTTGCTGGGAACTTTTGGGGAGCAGCAAGACTTGCTGTCCCCAAACCAGGACGGAGAACAGGAGAAAGATGGCGATAGCTTCGAAGGTAATGGAAGCTTAGGGGAGCTGGACGACGCCCCAAATCGCCCTCTGAACACAAAGGGGCACACAAAGCTCCTCCAGCTCCTCACCACCAAATCAGAGTCCTCTGATCCTTGCTCATCACCCCCACTGGGGGACGACCCGAACTGCAAGGACCAGCTGGGCGGGGTCGGGGGTGTTGGTGGTGCTGGGCACAACAACCACTCCACCTCGCTAAAGGAGAAACACAAAATCCTCCACAGGTTGCTGCAGAACAGCACCTCGCCCGTGGAGCTGGCCAAGCTAACGGCGGAGGCCACCGGAAAAGACCCCGTCGGTCCCGAGTCGGCTTCGGGGGACAACGCGGCCGCCCTGGGTGAGCTCTGCCCAAAACAGGAGCCGGGGAGCCCCAAGAAGAAGGACAATGCGCTGCTGCGCTATCTGCTGGACAGGGACGATAACGGCATCCTGGACAAAGCCATCAAGATGGAGCCCGGAGACGGACCCCAGCTGTCCAACGTTAAGACCGAGACACAGGAGGCAGACTTCAGCGTGGCGGAGCAGGTCAGTGTTGTCGACGGTAATATGAGTAATCTTTCAGTGAAATTTGAAAAATTGCTTCTCAATTGGTGAAAGTTATCTTTGCCTTTTTTTTTTACTGTTGGCAAAATACTTCCTTTAGTAGAGAACAAGCATGTGGAGAATCATCACAGTCAGAATACTCTTGTTCTCCCTGTGCACATGAAGAGTTCTGTCTGTTATGTGTGAATAAGAATAATTAAGCAATCTCTCCACTTAACAAAATAACATATGGAAAGCTCAACACCTGCAAGTGGGAACCACCGTCTGCTGACACCCGGTGTCGGAGTCTGTCAGATGTGCGATGACTTCCTCGCTAGGCAGCCGATGGCAGTGCACTTACTGTAACACGAGATGCTCTGGCAAGAGAGCGAAATTACAAAACAAAACGTGTGTGTGAGTGAGAAACAGGGAAACGGAACGAGAATTCAAAAAACACCTGAACAGGTTAAGTGTTCAGCTGTTTGAAACATACAGGACGCTCTTCCAGGAATATCAGAGGTGTTGATGTGGCTCAGCATGCAGGTGTGTTTGCATGCGTCGTTATATATGCATATATATATCTGTGTGTACTCTGGCTCTGTGTATGTTGTACTTTGTGTGTACAAACCTCCTGGGAGAAGTGGAAGATGTTAAACTCGTGGTTTCAGCAGCAGAGCACTCCCTCTCCTGTAGCAAAGCGTAGCCGGATCAGAGTGTTTGTCAGGCTCATTGAAAACATCGTTGATGTCGGTTCCAGGAAAGGAGCTGAAGGAGGACGGCCTGAGGTTCAGAAGTCTTGACGTCCTGCTGCTGTGCCTCTGGACAGCGGAGGCTGCTGCCGGTATGAGGAGGTGGCCATTCAGTGGCCGGATGGCTGGGCTTTGTTTTGTTTGTAGAATACGGTGACGCTTTGTCGAGCCAACCGTGATCGTGCCAGGAACGTGCTTTTTTTAAAATCTGAGGTTGAGATGATATTTCAGAAGCAATGGTCGGCACAGTGTTGGTGTGAAATCCTAGTTGGACTTAAAGGTAGCACCAGTAAGGTGTGGTTTGCTATGCCTGTATATCTGAATGGTTAGATACGTCGGAGGTTCTTCACATGTCCGGCAAGTTCTTGGCCTATCGAACAAAAACTGGATTTTGAAAAGTTGGAGGGTCCCCACACATCTCCATTTCAAAGTTATGCCCTTGATATGTGGCCATGTTGTGTTCTGTGTGTGTGTGTGTGTGTGTGTGTGTGTGTGTGTGTGTGTGTGTGT